ATATATATATATAAAATAAGGCTTCGTCTTCAGAGCCTTCAATTTTCTTCATTATCGCGGCGAAAATTTTTCTTTCAAACGGAAGACATATATTAATATATATATAATAATATATATATATATATAATGTAATATAATAAAATATATGTATATATTATGTATATTATATTTTATATAATATACATATATATTATTATATATTATATATTATTATTATATATATATATATTATGTATATTAAGATGTGCTATAAGTTTCTTTCACGCTAGAAATGACTATAACTGGTTATTTTTATCTGTTAATCGTTTATGGCAATCGGTTTCGGTCATCCCAGAGGCGAAGTCTCTTCTTCAAATCGAAATGTGGGTCGAAAAATGTGCGCTTGATTTAAGGATTAAATAGATCTTCAATGGTCTTCGAGGAAAGTTCTTTTATCCATTTGGTGGGATTGGAAAGGTTTGGTCTACTGTGAGCTCCTTTCTCGACGTGGGAACCGTCAATTTTGGAAAATATTGCAATATCAGCTTGATAAATTGAAGGACGGCATAGCGGAGGAACGGCTAAAAAAAATTGGCGAACCGACGAAGCGACAATGCAAAAGACCGTGCACGTTGCGTTGATCGTAAGAGGAAAAGGTGTTACAGTTCGATTGGGACATTCTATCGCATCTTCTGCGACTTCCTGCTCCACCCGACTATCACTTGTCCCTGTTATTAAAAAAATTCTCTCCACGATAAACGATTCCAATCCGTGGGCGAAATAAAAAGACACCTCGAGTAATATTTTGCAAATAAACCCCAACAATTTTGGAAAAAGGGAACAACGAGGCTTGCCGAGAGATGGAAAAAGACGATAGAGCAGAACGTATAACGCGATTAAATTAACCTCAAACAACGAATATCGTGTATTCATTTCGTATCAAAAAGGAAAAAAAAAATTAAGTTATGGGACACTAATATTACATTATATATAATATTAATTATATTATTATTATTATTAATATATATTATATTATATATAATATTAATTATAATATATATTAAGGTGTCCCCTAAGTTCTCTTTCTTTTTTTTCATACGAAATTATCAAAATCGATGAACGAATTTATAATACGAGCAGTTAGAGAAACGAGACGATGCTCGATGCGTTACCGAAAAGGAAGGAGGGTTAAACGATTTCTCTCTCTTTCCAGATCCTAAAAGTTATCATCTTTTTCGAAGTTCGCAACATTAATTGTCGAGGAAGCAATCCGAAAATATATCGACGATTTGGTAATCAGCGAGCAGTCGTCTTTGATGGAATTTATAATTTATCCACCAGGTTGGAAAAAGTTGTAGAGAAAAATCTTGAATTTTTGGAAAACAAAAAGGGGAAAGAACTTATTCGCACATCTAATATATATATATAATATATATAATATATGCGCCAACCAGTTCGTTATTACATTGGCATTTATTGGTTATTACCATCCCTCCATCCCTGTTCCTCTCTATTCGTTTTCTCTCTTCTTCTTATCAGACGTCGGTGGTCTATCAACTGCAGCGCCGCGTGAGGACGCTGCGAGAACAATTGCAGCGCAGAGATCTTCACTTGGATCTTCTTCGTAGAAAATTATCGCTTCAAGAAGAGAGCGTTAAGATGAAATCGTTGCTCCAAAATGAAAGGGACGAAGCTTGCCTCAGGTACGTTCATTCTATTTCGATATCCGTGTGTATATATATATATATATATATCGATTCGTTTTCAGGGCGAAGAAGTTGTCGAAGCAAACGGATCGTTTGCAGGCGCAAATTTTGGAGGAAAGATCGAGAAATCGGGAGTTAAGCGCGCAATTGACGGAGGCCGCAGATTACAAGGTAAGAGATTACGATAAACGTTTTTTCCCCTTCTTTATTTGTTTCTTCATTTCTTTTATTTCTGTGAAAAAAACGATAGATAGCCGCCTTGGAGCGGAGTCGAAAGATCGACGAGCTTCAGAAACGATTGGTGGAGAGCGAGATGCTGAGGACACGATACTCGAGAAAATTGAGCATGTTGAAGGAACAAATGAGAAGCGCAACCGAGACCGCCGAACAAGAGAGATCCATCAGCGATCACTCGTTGCAATTGCTCAGGGACGAGTTGGCTCAGGTTAAGCAAAATCTTTCCGAAGTTACGAAAAGGGAATCCCAAGTATGCTTTCGATCGATTTCGGTCGCATCTTGCGACCCATCTCGCTTAATTTTTCCTTTCTTTTCCAGTTGCAAAGCTTCCGAGTATCCGTGACGAAATTATTGTCGGAACCGATCTGCACGCCCGATTACGAGATAATCTCGCGATTGCAGAAAATGGTAGCGGCCCATCGCGACTTCACCATGATTTCGCGTAGATACGAGGAACCGTTGGAGACCAGCCCGTCCAGATGTACTAGGTACGATTTTCAGTTCCGAATTTGTTAAAATAATCCCCAATATTTCTAAAGAATAATTGTCGTCGAACGCATCGATCCAGCATACACGCGATGCATCCTCCCAGATCGCCAGGATGCGCGCGATACGAGGACAACGAGTTCGCAGATCCCCCGGATCTTCGAGACATCGAAGACGAGTTCAACAAACGGCCGGTACGAAGCAGCCTTCTCCCGTGACGTCGGCCTATATTTCGATGCTAAACCCCTCCCCACTCCTATATCGATATCTCCGTCCGAGTCTATTGTTTAAAAGTTTTTTTTTTTTTTTTTTTTCTTCTTTATCGAACGTACGAACGACCGTTTCATTTCTCACACGGCGATCATAGTAAGCCATTGTTGAACGCGCGATTCGACTGTGTGCGCGTGTGCGTAACACGGAGTTGGCGTGCATAGCGTGTATTGTAGAGTGGAACAACCGCATTCCAGGATGGTGTAGACGGTAGAGAGCGAGAACTGAAGTTGCGCAGCCTGTGCTGCGCAATGCAACGCGAGGCCGAGACGGGACGAAGAGAACTAGTTTGTGCCTAGTTGCGCGAATCCTATGAGGAAACTCTGTATATGTTTCTTACATCGTTAATCGGTCGAAAAATTTATTCCACATTCTCGAAACTTTTTCGAGAGTATATCTTTTTACGATTCGACGAAAATAGATTTTAAGGAAAAGGGTGAACGTATTGGGTGAACGATATAATTTATGAAGGATGTATCTTTATAGAAATAGGTTAGGAAAGGGCATCGTTCAAAGTTTCGGAATTTTATTAGGGAGATGGGGGTGCGTGATTTTGCGGAACGCGTTTCTTGCCTGGAAGAGAAATAAGTATGCGTGTATACGTATACGTGTACAACCACGAGTTGATACGACTGGTTAGCCGTGAACTTGGCCAAGAGTGAACTACCTCTTCCTCTGCAGAATCGTGAATGCAAAGTCGCGCTAGCTTTGGCCTCCTTCTTATTTCTCGTCTGTACGAACGCGTGCGCTGCAGTTATTTTGAGGGAGACGGGGACCGTGTTGTCTCTCGTTTTCAAACTAACGCGTGATACCAAGCAACTAGATGTGCATTTGTATGTTGTATTTTCCCTGTTCTTCGTATTTTTTTTTTTTTTTTTCATGATTTGTCCGTGATTTATGTCAACGATTTAATTATTCGATCGATCGATTTTCCTTAATTATTCGAGAATTTATCGCTGAAATTTATTTACGGATTCTCGTCGTTGAGAGAAGAATGCTAGATGAGATAAGATAAAAAGAGAGGAAATAATCATTTCGCATCTTTTAATAAATCTCACCGATTCTGAACTTTATCGTGAAATATTTGTTTCGCGTAATTTACCTTAACAACGGATGATTCGCGTCGAGTGAAAAATAAGTAATGAAATAAAAAACGCTATGTAATATAAAGTACGAGAGAGATGTTTGCATCTACTTATCGAACAAAATCACGCATTCTTCTGCATTCATGCTTGCATTTACGATGTATCCCATACATACTCCCGCGTAAATATAAATATATACGTATATCTTTCCTGTTTTGTCTTTTACTGTGAAACCCCTCTATCCGAAATTTCGAAAATATCGAAATTTTAATTCCCTTTAGCCGTACGAGCGTGAGAAGTATCGTAAACACTTGTACCTTGTACCATAATCTAGCGTATGTATGAAAATAACGATTAGATATACCGTATATCGTATCTATGTATGATTCGTAGAAGAGGAAATAACCGATCGAGAAGAAAAAAAAAAAAGAAAAAGCGTAAACCGGTATGACGGTATATAAATTTTCAATGAATTGAATTTTGCCACGGAAAGAAAGAACGATTGGACAATTATCGACGATATTATCGATAGATCGTGAATCATACTCGTCGGTATTATCGTATCAGTTAATCGTTGCTCTTAATAAGTTTTATAAAGGCAGTTAATCGTGCGATTAACGCGCTTATTACAATCGTTCTTCCGGATTTTGAGAAAAAAAAACGCAAAATCACGTCTCGTCAATAATAATATATATATATATATATATATATATATATTATAAATCGTGAGAGAGAATCGTTATCGTTTTAAGGTTAATGTTTTTTTAAGATACTCGTATTGTTTTTCGGGACGAATAGGATCGAGTATATGGAGAAAATAGTTCGACCGGCCCTGGCTCAGGATCCGCATAGGTGAAAGAGATAAACACTGTCATAAAAAAAAAGCGCAATTTTTCTCTCTTCGCGCTATTTCTTTATCGCTATTTCTTTTCGCGTAAACTTTTCTGTTTGGACGTAGACATGCTTAGTCGTCGTTGCATATGTCAAAAGAGAATCGTTAAAATTATCGATTATTCTTTTTTCATCAAAACTGAATTGAAAAGAAGAATTTTAGGAGTCTAAAAAAAAAAAAAAAAAAAGATATAACATTATCTTAACGAAACTGTGCGAAAAAATTAATATTGGAGATAAGATATTTTCTTTTTATATGTGAAAAAAAATATCATATACATTTAAATATATATAATTGTTCGATCAACGATTTATCATATAATGTAATTAAAAAGATGCTTACGTAAAAATGTTATTTATCATTATATAAAACTCTTTAAAATTTAAACAGTTGATAAAAATTCCAGAGTCATTACATATATCGCGTTTCACCGATTTAATCTACCGATAGAAATAAATATAAACTTATCTTTATTAAATTCAATGACGAAAATAAGGAAACTATTTCAATAATAAGTTTTATTTCATTATTCGTTAATCTTTCGATTTCAATTATATCGTAGAAAAACTGATTAAGATAATTAAGAAGATAAGATGATAAATTTGCGAAAAAATATAAGAAAAATATTTTTCTATTTTAAGTGATATGTATTTCAAGAAAATAAGAAAAAAAAAAAAAAAAAAAAAAAGAAAAAGATATTCTAACGATCTCTAAATCGTTATATTGAAAATTAATCGAAAGAAGACGAAAGATTATTCCTTGCCTCATGTATTTTCAAAATAAAATTTTTTTTTTTTTTTTTTTCGAATACAATTAGAATTTTTAGAGATAAGAAGATAATTACACGATATCACGTGCAAGATGATTACAGATAAAATAACTAGAATGATTGATATTTCAATTTTTTTCGTAACTTTTACACGATATTAAAGATATTAAAGTTAATAAGAACGTAAAACATTATTTGAATCGCAATAATCCAACGATTTTGATTTATTCCATTCATGTATGATTAAAATTCATCTAACTTCCGTGATCGTGAACAAATCGATACATTTCACTTATCTTTCTTGTAAAGAGCGTAAATATATATATACGAATTGATATCAACAGTGATGTAAATTTTTCTGTTCTTGGACAGAAGAGATACGCTTGGTCGTAGTTGCAATTATGTGAAAAGAGACATCGTTAAAATTATCGATTTTTTTTCATTCAAAAGTGAATCGATGCAATATACATTTTAATTGATAAAATTAATAAACAGAACGAACAAGATATAATTGTATAGAATAAATTTATATGTAACAATTAAATTTCATTATTATCAATGAACGAATAATATATAATGTAATATAATGTAAAAATAACTGTATCTGTATATTTGTGTATGTTTAAAATTTTTTTTTTAAAATTCTTTTTTCCACAAAATGGAAATATGTAATACAATACTTATCATTGTTAGTTATCGATACGTATCATCAGGTATATTTATCATGTCGATATCTTCTATATCTGATAAAAAAAGAATAAAAAAAAAGAAAAAAAAAGAAATGGTCGCTGTTTCATAGTTTCACTGTAATTATCGTTTCACGATAATCATCTATTTTGCTCGTATCAAATAATAAATGATTAATAAAAGGAAAAAAAAAAAAAAAGAAACGAGTCTGCAGCATATATATATATATATATATGTATATATTTTTCAAGGAAAATTATATCCAAGTTTCAATGATCTTCATTTGACGTTCATAGATGAGAAAAATATATTTTTCGACAATTGCTCGATGTAAATACATAGAATAGAATGGAAAATTTTCGAAGCTCATACCTGATATGTAATATGTTTCTCGAAGTTCTTCCTTCTCTTTTATCCTCAGATAAAAAAAAAAAAAAAAAAAAAAAAGGAATTATAAATTGTTAATACCTGTGTTCTCATTCGAATCGAAAATATATTATATTATGAAAACACATTAATGATAGATCGATAAATAATTTTTGAATAGTAGATATATTATAAAAAAAAAAAAAAAAAAAAAAAAGAAAATTAAGGGATGTTTCTTATAATGTTTTTTTTTTTTTTAAAAATAATTTCTCTTCTACATAACACGAAATACATACACATTTAAATATTATTCGCAACATGAAATTTGATTTCTAAGAAGAAATATTCTTTTTTGATTCATAAGATAAGCAGATTTTTCTATTTGCCAACAAAAAGATAATTCGATTGATTGACGCGACAAAGGAGTGAAAACAGATAAAAGAGAACAAGAAATTAGCGATACCAGATTTTTATGTATGCGTTAATCGCGTATCATCGAGGTAGTGATATTGATTAAAGGTATCTATTCAGATAAGGGTAAAGGTTTCCCCTGATAAGCTTTACAAAGAGTATTTCTACTTCATCAAGTTTTGCAGCACTCGCGGATGAACGCTCGAAATATCAACGTGAATCAAGTGACAAAGTCAAAAAACAGGACGATGCAGAAATTTTTGTTAATATTGTTGGCCACCGGCCTCTTCTCTCTACAATCCGGTAAAGTATTACGATCGATCATCGGATATTTTATCATTTATCTTAATTAACTTTTTCCTTTTATTAAATTATTTATTTTTAAGTTTCGATACTGTATAACGTGTATTTCATTCTAAATTAGGAGACGCGCTCAAATGTAGAATATGCAAGGGAAATTGTACTGATTTACAAAATCAAAGTGAAGTCGAAGTGGCAGAGTGTTCACTGCCTTCGACTACGGAACCATCGAGCTCAGAAGCATCGAGCGCGGGATCAACGAATACGCAATCTTCAACCTCTTCAGCATCGAGCTCAGAAGCATCGAGCGCGGGATCAACGAATACGCAATCTCCAACCTCTTCAGCATCGAGTTCAGGATCACCTAGTTCAGAAGCATCGAGCGCGGGATCAACGAATACGCAATCTCCAACCTCTTCAGCATCGAGCTCAGGATCACCGAGCACAGAAGCATCGAGCACAGAAGCATCGAGCACAGAAGCATCGAGCTCAGAAGCATCGAGCTCAGAAGCATCGAGCACAGAAGCATCGAGCACAGAAGCATCGAGCACAGAAGCATCGAGCTCAGAAGCATCGAGCTCAGAAGCATCGAGCTCAGAAACATCAAGCATAAAACCATCGAGCACTGAAGCATCGAGCTCAGAAGCATCGAGCTCAGAAGCATCGAGCTCAGAAACATCAAGCATAAAACCATCGAGCACAGAAGCATCGAATTCATCGAACACAAATAAAACGAACTCAGAAGTTTATTATAATGGTATCAATTTATTTTATATAATAAGGGAATAATAAAGTGGTTATTTGCGAATAGAAATTTAAATATATTATATGTAAATTAAATTAATTAATTTGCTTTATATTTTTAGCTTATTTCAATAATAGAAATGAAAGGAAGCGTAGAAGTTTGCTCGGACGTTTTTCCTCAGAAATAAATGCACGCTCAAATGATACTGATTTCCTTTGTTATACTATTAAAAGTAAGATATTATTTTCAAATATATAAAACGTTGTTTTCTTTTTTTTTTTTTTTTTTTAAGATTTTATGAAAACGTAGAAAAAGCTTAAATTGTAATAATAATAATTTTTTTTTTTTTTGCAGATAATCAGCAAGAAATCACGGAAATGGGATGTACTACTACTGACGCTAATATTTGTAACAATAATACTAACTCAACTAATACTAATACTTGTAACGTATGTAAGGAAGATGAATGTAATTCGGCAACATCGAATGCTGTTTTCGCTTCTATGGTGTTCTCTTTGTCAATAATCATATTTTTCATGAAATAAATAAATTGTCAATTTATTTATTATAAAGTATACTTTTTCGAGAATCAAAGATATCAATCAATTTTCTTCGTTTTTTCGTGATAAACATCGATATTGCTGAAAGTAACAAAATTTTATATATCATTATTTATAATGTCAAGATTCTATATTTGTATCCAATTGGCCAATAAAAACTTGTTTTATGTTACTTAAATTAAATTCAAACTTAATCAAACTAAAAATTCGATTTATTTCATGCTGTTTGAATATCATATCTGAGAAAATTAATTGTAAAATTCATAGATACGTATGATAATATGAAATAAAGACATTATACTTTGCGTTAAAAGTGAAATTAATTGTAAATGAAAGTTTATCAAGAATAGATGCAAAAATGGTTAATTAGTTGTTCAACGAACAGCCATAAGACGTATAAGAGCAATGAACTCGATGCATTCGACACGTTCTAATCTTTTTTTCGAGCTTTGCAATGTAAATTTTTCGATCGTTAATTCTTATCATTATTTCTTCACGTGACGCGTTTCCAATTAATTGCACATTCTCTCGAAATTAAAATCCTTGTACATAAATAATTAATTTTCAACGATGTATCATGCAAAAATTAGAAAGAAAAGAAATGCGTTGTTTTTCGTTCTCATTGTTACAAATGCATTTAACAACTGTGAATAATGGAAGATCGGTGCATCGATGAAAGACGATTAAAACGAAACGAATGAGCAAGAAAGCAAGAAGGAGAGAATACGATAGAGAAGAGATGAAACGCGATTGCGCGTACGATATTCGGGCGTGCTCGTAACTGATGCGCTTGCCGCGCCTCCTCGCTGGGTTCGTCGGTAATTGTGGCGTTGCTCTCGCAAGGGAACGTGCGCGACCGAGCAACTCGATTCGTTGGAACTGCGCCGCCCGTCCCCACAACTCTCGAGGAACTTCAGTCTACCGTCATCGTTCGCGAGCGTCGTTTCGGCGCGTTTGTCGTTCGCTTTCATTTCACGTTCTGTTATCTCTATTCTAACGCTATTACCATTTCTTTTCGCGCCATAACGTGTTTCGTTTCCCTCTTCACGCGTTGCAAATAGAAAGAGAGGAAGAAAAGGAGGAGACGGGATATCAAACGCAAGCTTCCAAACGTGAATTTTTCCATTCTTTCGCGAATAATTAACGAAACCTAGTAAATTTTATTTATTCATCGGTGAATTATTCGACGCGTCGATCGATCTATCGAGCCATTATCACGCCACCGTCGTCATGTATGATCGACGCATCTGAATTTTTACATCTTCCTTCCCAGACGTGAGACAGGATTTCGAGATTTTCGTCGATTATCGTACGAACGTAAGTACTTACGCATATGATTTTGTTCGATAAACATAACTTGTTGCCGTTTGGCGGGAAGTTTGGTGAACGTTTCGAAATGCCGATAAAACTTCTTACGTGGAGAACGAGTAACCTTGAGAAATGGCAGTTATATGAAAGTGGGAGTTGAAATTCGCGATGTATCATAGATTGATCGTACGTTGAAAGAATGAATATCGTTATTTGTTTCGAGATTGATTAAGTGAAAAATCGCATTCGAATTTGCTTTCAATTCATTCTTCACTTACTTGTAACGATTCATTTATTTCATACGAAAACGTACATTACAACTATGGTTGTGATGTACATTTCTATTTGCGGTAACAATCATTTTTTAATTGCTAGTTATAGAAAATTAGAAAATAAAAAAAAAGTTGACGTACCGGCCACTAGCGCTGGTTCGATCGTCCGGACGCTGCACATAGCCACCTGTGCTCACTCTGTTTTGCTTCGAATTAGTTACAGCCTTTTACCGGTTTTCCCTCCTGCACGGTTACAAACAACTCATCCCAAAATCGAAGATTTCCGCTACGTTGAGCTCGTTAGGGCTCGTACGCGAATCTGTCTCTCCGCTTAGTTAGTTTCTACTAACGAGGATAACAACAAAGCGTTTCGTTAATCGTGTATCGTCCTTGCGTTGCGCGCAGGAGTCGTAAATGCATTACGGTATTCTCTAATGTTTTTTTCTTGCTTCTTGCAATTCTGTAAAAAGAAGTTAATGCTCGAAAATATATAATATTTCTTCTTCATAAGATATTTCGTGATCAATTGAAAACCTGACATAAGAAATTCAGTCTTCCTAGACGATCATATGATCGTCCTCGTTGTTTAAGAAAAGATGAATTCTTTTTGTTCACTCGATGAAGAAAAAGCCCGCTATTGGAAATCGGAACGCGGGAAATAGAGGCAAAAGGGAAAACACGTATTCCGTATTCTCGTTGAACCACGCGCGTTCTTTCTCCTTCTCGAATTCTAGCGTTATGTTGCGTTAAATCGATCAGTGTCTGCGCGCAACACGCACCCCATTACAATTATTCATTTTCGCGCAATTCGTACGGCTGGATATATCTTCGCACCCCGTGAAAATTTGACTTGAATTTTGATTTAATTGAATCGGCTAGAATATGGAAAGATAGCCGTTCGATCGACAAAAATTATCAATCAGCCTTTCAAAAATGAAGAATTTGAAGGACAACCGATTACAAATGAAGGATGGATGGTACTTGTACGACAGGGAAGGAACGCAGAACTGCGGGATCATCAAACTAATCGAATCGAGTATTAAATAATGTATACGTGAAAATTGGATTAGTATGTCATATACACGCTGCGTAGACGATTTCGATCGTTTTTTTAAACGTTGTATTGTAATTTCATTTTACAATAAAGTGAATATCATTCTTCCACGTTGCTTCTTCCTTTTCGTTTCGTTTCCTTTCGATGCGTGTTTTGTTTCGAACACAATTCTTGGAAAAAAAAAAGACATTTATCCTTGTATAAATTTAAATTTATCCTTATATATATGTAGATATATTAAACATTTTTAAAGTCGTTTTTGAACAATGAATTTCACGTAGAGCTGTGCAAACAAGGGCGCGGGAATAATTTTATCAGTCGGTTCAAATAAATTTGTGCTTCGTCGTCGCGTTCGAATGCGGCCAATGATAACTTTCGATCTAGATCTACTTACTTAACATGAACGAAACTCGTTGTTAGGTAGCTCGTTTACCGTTAATACATGACACGAATACACAAGCTAAGACGATAAGATTGGATTCGATATATTAATATTTGATAGATATTTGAAACAACCAACAACTGTTGGCTACCCTTTTACATACGGTCAGTCTTTTCTCGCTTTTTGAATACGAGACTTGACGTCTCTTCCGCTTTTTGAAAAACCAACGAATTCGACTCCTCTCGAAACCGTGACTCTTATCATTTGCTATTAATTTTCACCTTTTATCTCTCGAAGTTACATACGTTATGCTTGATTCAAAGATCGAATTTTTGATCGAAAAAAATGATTCGATAAAATTATTAAATTATTGCAATTTTATTTGATTTTTATTCAATTTTATTTGATTGGAAGGTACACGAGCTATTGAAAATTTTTGAAGAAGAATTAATCATTCTAACGAGAAATAAAACTCTATTTCTCGAATCTCGATTCTCAAAAATTGTACCATTTAGAAACTTTTCTCGTCAATTTCTTCTATCGTCATTCGTAATTGCAATGGAAGCCCAGCTAATAATAAACTATACTACAATTTAATAGCGATGTAATAAATTCTATGGTGTGCAAATAATTCGAAAGGAGATGACAATGATTGTCTGGGAGGAGGGGAGGGGGGAGGGGAAATCTCTATAACGAATTAATATAAAACGAATCCAATAAATTGAATGAAAAATTTATATTATCAACATGTATACATGTTATTTCAAGTTACACAGATTTGTCGACGATTCGATAGATCGTAGATCGACATCGTAGATCGATTAACCCTGTTGCCTCTTACGTTTAATCCAACTTATAAGAACAGGTAATCCTGTGGTTAATACCTTTAGAATTGCTCCAATTCCTGCTTCCGGATCCTGAAGAAAAAATATACACGTTATATAAAATCGAAATCATAAAATATAAATCAAATTAGAACCAAGTTTAATTTTGGATACGATCATCACAATTAATAAATGGTTTTTCTTTTTTTTTTTTTTTTTTCAAAATTATCAACGATTAAGGAGAATCGGTCAAACAAACAAGTAAAAAGGAAATAAGTATTTTTTGACTTACTGCCTCTGCATCTGCCTCTGCCTCTGCCTCTGGTGCCGGTTCTGGTTCAGGGGCCGCATAGATCAAAGAAATGTATACAACCATAAAAACAAGGGCAACGTTGAGTAAGAATTTCATGATTTCTCACGATCACTTCCTTCCTTCCTTTGCGATTAATTCCTCGATGCCGATGGCTTCTTCCGCTTGAAGAAACCACTCGTTCTTTCGTTATTTATACCAGGCAAAAATCGTTAAAATTATCGACGAGGCGATATTATTCCTTTTTTTTTTTTTACAATTTCCGTCGAAGCATTAGGCATTAAAAAAAAAAGACGGTTAAAATTGTGCAAATTGTGAATAAAGATTTCGAGAGGAGATAGAGATAGATAATGCTTGAAAAAATTTTCGCGTATTTTTACGTGAAAATTATCCAATCAATAATTTATATTCATATATTGTCAAAATTAACGAATATTAATGAAATTTTCTGTGCGTATGATTATATGTATGAAACATAATTTTTCTTTTTTTTCTTTTTTAAGGGACTTCATCACTTTACAAAATCAATCTTTTTTTGCTTCTCGAATGTAATTTCGTAATACGTCAGGGAAAAATTTTAAATCTAATTGAAAATACTCTATTTCTATATAATATTTCTATGTAAACATTCTAAATACTTTTTGTAACCGTTGAAAGTAGGAAGAGGCACAATTCCGAGAACGATTCCGTTTCCTTCAAGAAAAATCATACATCCGCCCAATCCAATGACGAGACAAAATTCAATAGTTGAAATTACGAATAAAATTACTCCCGATAAATTAGTTCGATAATTTATTCTTTAAAGAGATAATAATAATAATAATCCCAAATAATCAATACTGCCAAATGGCAGAGGTTATATGAAAAGCGGGATCGATTGGTAACAGCTACGAATAAATCTTATTCGAGCGTTTTTTTTAATAAGCGATTACATTTATTACACTTTATTCGAGATTTTTAACTAGTTACTTACTAGTTAGTTTTCAGTTAAATTTTTACTAGTTACTTATTTATCAAACGAGTTTGTAAAATTGCGCCAAACTCTGGCCCAATCGAATTCAAGTAGTTCGAATGCACGCGCACGTATACGGATTGCGTGCATATATGCGCGCGAGAACGCTCACTTACACGTGTTATGCACGTGTACGCAACATGGCGGCCGCTCGTTGACGCCGAGTCGCTACGAATCTCGCGCGGTCGGAGAAATCGAGAATCTGGAACTCTGGCGAGAGTAAGAACCGCGCACGATTCCCCGGATATCCGTTCGAAGCTACGAGGAACCGAAACTCGTTCGAAGCCAGTTCACCCACGACATTGAAAGTTACGAGCGGGGAGAAATCTGCCCCGTTTTGCCCCGAGAGAGAGAGAGAGAGAGAGAGAGAGAGAGAGAGAGAGAGAGAGAGAGAGAGAGACATTGTTTAAAAACGTTTATCGCGACGTTTCTCGCGCATCGATTTTCGATTCTGTTTCGTTTCGCGATTTCCAACCAGGCGCCATACCTTTTATCGACCGCGAGATAGTAGACTGCAGCGTTGTGTGTGCGTGTGTGTTACGCGCAAGTTCACAAGAACGAATGGATGGTGGAGAAAAAAAAAGAAGGAAAGAAAGAAAGAAAGAAAGAAAGAAGAAGAAGAAGAGGAGAAGGAGAAGAGGAGAAGGAAGAAAAGGAGAAAAGAGAGGAGAAAAGGCCGTGAGGCCCAGGGCTGACCGGTTCATCGACCTATCGTCCGGTCTCCTTAGTCCCTCGTTCTTCACCTTTCTCTCGACACTTGGTTTCTCTTTCTCTCTGTTAACTCTTTTCTGTTAGCCCCGACTGTTCCTGAACCGGCAGGAATCTCCCGTCTCGGTCGCGATACAAAAGACACGCAGATTTTTGGTCGTGCAATTCTCATCGTGTTTTCTAAAGCGCTTTAGTTCCTCCCTTTATTCCATCCTATCCTTTTTTGGAATTTATTTTATCCCTTTCGAAAGGAATTTCTCCCATTTCGAAAACAAAAATTTCGTTCAGAATGAGAAAAAAAAAGGATGAAAAGTTTGGAAAATTGTGTGGAATAGTCCGAGTTGTTTAATTACGTTTAATTACGCAATTACTGCAATTGCAATAATTTCATACATTCGTGAATGTTTTCGTTACATTGCAACCTGGATGAAAATGAAATAAAATGAA